TGACTCAGGAAGAAGCCTTTCTACGATGAGTATAGCCACAGATGGCGAAGGTTTTAAATATACTGTTTTCCTTCATTTAGATGAGATACTTTTCTGGTTTTACGTGCCGCGATGTATACATACCCTTATAGTTGTGCTTGACTCTGCCTTAGTCCGCACGACCGTTACGTCCTGCCAATACCTCATAAATAATGTACTATTCCTTTTTTGAAAAGAGGAAAAGACGCCACTTGGTTTCAAAAAAGAAAGAAACAAAGAAAGAAGCAAAGCAAGAAGTGTTTATCGTCTCTTGCCAGTTCCTCATAAATAATAGACTGTTCCCTTTTCATCGCGCGGGAAGAGGTAAAGAATGCTAATAAGTTTCAGTGAAAGAAAGAAAGAAAGAAAGAAAGAAAGAAAGAAGATAAGGTAGTAAAGTCTCATGTCTGTTTCGGTGAAATGGAAAAGTTATCAATTTCAATTTTTTTTTCATTTGTACCCACTTCTTAAAATAACGACTAGTATCCATATTGTTATAGCAATATTTTTGGCTCAAATATTTAACAATTCGAGAAGGGAATTTCTACGGATATTTTATTGTCGTAGAACTCGCCATGGGCTTACACGGTCATTAACTTCAGAATTAAAATTTATCAGAATATTAAAAAGGAAAACCGTGATATTCTCACGGGTCTGATATAATAAATGCATACAAGCACTCACACACGTACATATATATATATATATATATATATATATATATATATATATATATATATATATATATATATATATATATACTGACTTTTTCAGGTAAGTGTTGGTACCTACACTAATTCGCTGATAAAACCATAATGACAAAATCCCCAACTAAACAAAAACATAGTTTTATCGTCAAATTGTTTATGTTATTAAAAAGAAAGACTTTTTTTTTAAATTTTTTACTCTTTTCTAACACGTTCGACATTGTGGTTAAAAATCTTGTTTTTTTTTTTGGGGGGGGCGATGGTTCGTCAATGATGTATAGAAATTTTAGTGCCTTCTTTTGCGGTAAAATAACACATTAATTTGGAAATTCTTTCAAAAATCAAATAGCTATCTGTTTAAGACTAACCTTTCAGGACTTATTTACAAAGGAATTATAAAGGTATTAGTTTTCGAAAATTATAATTTTTTAAAAAAATCTTGGTGAAAATATTTTTTTTTACATCTGTTACCCCCACCCTTACTAAATTCCATGAAATTTCTAGAAATTAAATTCCTTACTTGTTTTATTAGATAAACGTAGGAATTCTTGAAGAACGTCTACTCTTTGTTTAAAAAATGCCTTTTATCTTTTATTTCAACTTAAAGTAAATAATATTTGTTTCAAATCCGATTAATTAGACCTTAAATCACCTAATATTCATCAAATAATATTTAAGAAAAGTATATTTTATTTTTGGATGATTATTTTTTTTTAATAAAGAAAAAGTCATTGCGATGACAGAAGGGTAAAAAAAAAAGACTCTCATCAGGTATTTTTAGTCCAAAACAATGAATCAACTCCAACAAATAAAACTTCTGTTTGCAATACACTATATACAGTATTTTGTTTACTGGAAATAGTAAACTTAATCCTTCAGTATTTACATTATTTGGACTATTATCCTCATCTTTGTCGCTACATTTATTACAACATTTCGGCCGTTGTACACTCCGGCCTTCTTCAGATGCCATGTTTAATGGATGTCAGATATGAGTTATCTCCCCTCTGCAAGTTCTCTCCTGCCTTAAACGGGTCCTGTCACTGGATCTAACCAACGCCTTTATCTACTGTGCCATGACCCCTTGAGGACATTTGTGTATGAATTTCTGGGTATTATAAACATAATGTCTTCAGCAACTATTTTTTTACCAGTGCTCATATTGCAGTTTTGCTGTTATCATTGCATGTTTTTTACCAGAGCTCATATTGCAATTTTTTGTTGTTATCGCTTTTCTCTGGCACTCCTCATTACTGGTTCCCATATTGTATTCATTTCTATGCTCGGTCGGCTCAAGAGATTCTTGTGAGCCTAGCACAATATGTGCTGATTCCTTAAGTTTATAATACCACGTGGAACTAGAACAGTCCACCCCAGTGAGCGAAATAAAGTGTTCAGTTCGACATTCCACCTGAAGAAGGCCGGAGCGTATAACGACCGAAATGTTATAATAAATATGGCGACAAAGATGAGGACAATAGTCCGAATAATGTAAATAGTCTACATAATACCTCATCTCAGAAATATAGACAGTTAATCCTTCAGCTTTCAATTAAAGCTAAAATGAAATCTTCAAGAAAGATTTTTTTTTTTATGAATTTAAATCTTAGGTGTACCGAATTAGTGGAGGTACCTTAGATAATTGAAAGAGAGAGAAGAAGAGAGAGAGAGAGGAAAAGAGAGAGAGAGAGGAAGAGAGAGAGAGAGAGAGTTTAGTGTATGACGGATGGCGAACTGCGCATGACAGGAAAGACCGGTGGACTTTGTGTTTTGGTCTCCAAAACGTGTTTTGTTGAGTATATCCGTTAAGAGCTGATCGTTTTTCATTGTTTACAAGAAAACAAAGGAATTTTTTTTAACATATCTGTTAAAGCCGCCACTCTCTCAAGACACGAAAGACGATGTCTGAACACCTTGTTTTTCATCTTGCAAAATAATTTCTGAACACTTCCGGTGACGTAGTAAAAATATATATATATATATAAAAGAAATTTTTAAAAATTACTTTATTTTAATTGTTTTTATTTATAGATCTGGAACAAGGCAGAGAATCGGTTATTTTTTTTTTATTTATCCTTTAGCTTATTTCAATATTCAAGAGATAAAAGATGAAAATAAAAGAAAATGATATTTAATACCAGAAATCTTTCTTAATCATTTTACAATAACAAAAAAAAGTGTCTGTGAAAAGGAAGAACATTATTAATGAGAGACGACAATAACAGAACACGGAGACTGTAGATGACAATTGCCACTGTGCTTAAATCTTTGAAGATCAATGTTGACTGGAAATCAAAAAGCCTGACTAGGTTCCCACAAGCGAGAATTAAGAAAAAATATAACGTATTTCAACTGTAAAAATAATGATACCTAGCTGCCGATAATACGCTTAAATTCGTAAAGCCGAGGCGCCAAAGAGGAAAGCTCATCAGAACAATTATTAATAACATATTTATAGAAAAGATACCGGGAAGATATGTTACAGTATTCAAAATGAGGTTTCAAAATATGTATGCTGTTATCTACCGTGTTCCTTCAGGGCGTGAGCGATCATGGCTCCCCACAACATCTTGTCTTTTGTTCTTCGAAGTAAATTTATATTCTTTACTATCCTTCATTGACCCTGTTGTGCTAACCATTCTCGAAAACCCTTAAAGTAAATTACTCGCTTTTTTTTCCCATGTTTCCCTTGTGTTTTTTGTAAGTGGTAAATTCTCGAGACTTTTTTTATCAGGTTATAGGAGCACAAATAATGTTCCTGTCTCTTTACGACAGGGATGAACTAGCTTTTTTTTTTTTAACTTTTTTTTATATAATAGATGCATTTTATGCTTTTAATTTACACAATCTCGCAACACGATTGTCAATCTGAGCTATCAAATACGAGAAATGACCTAGATCTTAGGAAATGTGGCATAGATAAAAGATGTTTATACAGAGGTTTCCCGGTGATTAATTTAAATGAATTTCATATTTTATGATCGCGTTTCGGTTTCTGTAAAATATTTCCGTAACACATGTAAATTGCAATGCAGTGAACGCAACCAATATGGCTTGATTTTGGTTAACTTTCATCAGGTTGCCTCTCAACCTGGTTACCTTTCACCTGGTTACCTTTTTCCCCTGGTTGCCTTTCACCTTGTCTTTCACCTGGTTACCTTTCCCCTGATTGTCTTTCAACTGATTGCCTTTCACCTGGCAGCCTTTCAACTGGTTTTCATTCACCTGGTTAAGTTTCCCCTTGTTACATTTCACGTCACTACCTTTCACCTGTCTGCCTTTCATCTGGTTGTATTTCCCTTGGTAAACTTTTACCTGGTTGCTTTTCACCTGGTTGCCTTTTACCTGGTAATTTTTCACCTGGTTACCTTTTCATGGTTAGCATCCAGCTGATTGCTTTCAGACGTGGTTACCTTTCACTTGATTGCTTTTCACGCGGTTACCTTTCACCTGATTACCTTTCACCTGGTTACTTTTCACCTGGTTACCTTTCAAATGGTTGCCTTTCACCTGGTTGCCTTTCAACCTTAATTTCACCTGGTTAACTTTTCCCTTGTTTCATTTCACTTCACTACCTTTCACCTGTCTGCCTTTAATCTGGTTGTATTTCACTTGGTAAACTTTTACCTGGCTGACTTTCACCTGGTTGCCTTCTACCTGGTAATCTTTCACCTGGTTAACTTTTTCATGGCTATCATCCTGCTGATTGCTTTCAGACGTGGTTACCTTTTACATGGTGGTCTTTCACCTGGTTACCTTTCACTTGATTGCCTTTCACACGGTCACCTTTCACCTGATTACCTTTCACCTGGTTGCCTTTCACAAGGGTGCCTTTCACCTGTCTGCCTTTCATCAGGCTGTCTTTCACTTGGTTAACTTTTACCTGGCTGACTTTTAGCTGGTTGACTTTTACCTGGTTCCCTTTTATCTGGTAATTTTTCAACTGGTTAACTTTTACATGGTTATCATCCAGCTGATTGCTTTCAGACGTGGTTACCTTTTACATGGTTGAATTTCACCTGATTACCTTTCACCTGGTTGCCTTTCACACGGTAACCTTTCACCTAATTACCTTTCACCTGGTTGCGTTTCACTAGGTTGCCTTTCACCTGGTTGCCTTTCACCTGATAACCTTTCAACTGGTTGCTTTTCACCTGGCTGACTTTTACCTGGTTGCCTTTTACCAGGTAATTTTTCACCCGGTTAACTTTTACATGGTTATCATCCAGCTGATTGCTTTCAGACGTGGTTACCTTTCACTTGATTGCCTTTCAC